TTCCTTACTACTGTCCAGGGTGCCTGTGTATGGCTTCATGAGCCATGGCATTAAGGGGTAGGCTGGATCCCCAAGGATAATTGTAGGCATTTCAACATCTCCAACGGTAATTTTCTGGTCTGGGAAGTAAGTTCCTTCCTGCAGCTGTTCAAACAGACCAGAGTTCCTGACGATGCGAGCGTCATGCACCCTTCCCGGCTATCCCACATTGATGTCGGTGAAACGTCCCTTGTGATCCATCAGTGCTTGCAGTGCCATTGAAAAGTACCCCTTGCCACTCGCTTCTCAACTGTGAGGGCTGCTCTCATCTTGGTATTCTTACCCTTCAGGGCAGGGGAAAGCAAGTCACAAAGTTCCATAAAAGTGCCCTTACGCATGCAGAAGTTTCGCAGCCACCGGGAATCATCCCAGACCCGCAACACTATGCGGTCCCACCAGTCTGTGCTTGTTTCCTGGACCCAGAATCTGCATTCCATGGCAGGAAGCTTCCCCATTACCACCATGATGTCCAAATTGCCAGGACCTGTGCTTCGAGAGAAGTCTGTGTCCATGTCCTCATCGCTATCGTCATCTCACTGTCATCGCCTCCTCGTCTGCTTTTGCAGGTTCTGCACGTACTGCAGGATAATGCGCAAGGTGTTTACAATGTTCACAACAGCAGTGGTGAGCTGAGCGGGCTCCATGCTTGCCGTGGTATGTCGTCTGCAGGAGAGCAGAGTTGCAGCGGAAGCGGTGGATGACGACGGTTAGCAGTCTTACTGCACCGTCTGCTGACAGCAGTATGGCATCTTCACGGAAAAAAGGCGCAAAACGATTGTCTGTCATTGTTTTCATGGAGGGAGAGGTGACTGATGACATGTACCTAAAACCACTCGTGACAATGTTTTTGCCCCATCAGCTCAGCCCAGAATTCTAATGGGCAGTGGAGACTGCAGGAACTGTGGGATAGCTACCCACAGTGCAATGCTGCGAAAGTCTACGCTAGCCACGGTACTGTGGACGCACTCCTCCGACTTAATGCTCTTAGTGGGACACACACAATCGACTGTATAAAATTGCTTCCTAAAAATCGACTTCTATAAATTCGACCTAATTTCGTAGTGTAGACAATACCCTGAGTTACAATGTCCAAGGGCGGTAGGTTTCAGAATAGCAGCCGTGTTAGTCTGTATTCGCAAAAAGAAAAGGAGTACTTGTGACACCTTAGAGACTAACCAGTTTATATGAGCATAAGCTTTCGTGAGCTACAGCTCACTTCATCAGATGCGGTAGGTTAACTTTTACTCCTGTTCAGTTAGATATACCAGTTATCAGTTGAACAGACTGTGTCCCATGCTACTCCTTTCGCCAGAGTTTTGCCTGACAGAGTATCTTAAAATATGAGGTGGGTTGACTTCTGTAATGAGTGTAGGATTTAACTGACTTACAATGAGCTTTGAGAGATGCTGTGGTGCGAAGTGCCTCTAAGGTTCCTTTGATATTAGTTTGTATTTCCAATTAGGCAGTTTATTATTCTCATCTCTCAAATTCTCTAGGGTAATTGCTTTTACGTAGGTGCTGAGCAGGCCCTAGGTTCGTATGCTACCACTTGAGGTTTCTTACTGTTTTGTCATTGAAGCCTGTGTACATGATCTTTAATTAAGGCTACTTTGAAAGGAATAGTACTCCCTGTAGTGGCTAATGACTGATGACTAGGTGCTACTACTTGTTTTTCTTTTCCCCATGTTGTTTATGGAACTCTTTGTTTATCCCTGCATTTTTGTATTGATTCAAGGAATTGTGGCGGGTGGGGAGGGATTTTTATTTCTGGGTGTGTTGTTTCAAGTTTGTCTGTATATAGCCCTAGAGAGTGCTGTCTAGTCCCAGCCCACACCACAACTTCAGGATGGATCTTGAGAAGCCATTAACATTTAAAGTTAATTCCTATTTTTCTCTCTGGTGTAGAGAATTTGCAGAAAATAAATCTCAGTATTGTTTGTGAGAGCAATTTATTCCTTTCACATGGCTTCAAGCTCCCAATTCTTGTCCCTCCTGTCCTCACAGAGGAGGGCCCAGACCTCCTAAACTTCTTATGGCCTTGACAAATCTGTGACTTTATTTTTGTTAAATGTTAACATTGGATTCTTGGCCAGGTTAAGCCAGATCACATTGAGTCAACTGATAGTTCTTGATAACAATGTGGAATCTGTCACAATGTCATTGTTGAAGAAGCAGAGTCAATATATTAAGCCATCTCTCATAAGTTTTGTCTGAAGCGTTCTCGCTGCTAAAAACTGAATTCTCTAGAAAGCTGAACATAATTTAAAGAAATCATTGTTCATGAATCTGAGAAAAAAGTGAAGTTCTTCTTTTTGTCTTTCAGAACCTGATTAAAATGCCTCCTGTATATTTTCAGTCAGGTATTCAATAAAATTAAGATAATCGCAGGTGCTTTTCTTCAAAGTGCAAATTCTGTCAGCATTGACCACCTTCCTGCTATCTCAGTTTGGTCACTGAGAGGGCAACTTTTAAGTTTAAGGCTTAAAAAAAATTACTCAGTACTTTAGCCAAAAGACTTCGCCTACTAGCCTTAGAGAAAAATACCTAGGCCTCCAAGCCATCTCTACTGTTATTGAAGGGAACATAACAGCTATGTGCTGTGTTTGTGTGCTGTATTTAATTGTAACATATTAGTTTATGTAGTACATTTCTAAAAATGTAATTTACTCTACCTGTTTTTGCGTTCCCTTCGTTCCCTTCCGAGCTTCACTCTACTCTTTCCATCTTATAATACATACTGGTGTAGCCTTTCTTCAGTTATTTAAAGGGTCTGTGTTCTGTCTTTCTCCACCACCCCTTTATATCTTTCTCTTTGCCGAAGTAGTTATTCTTTAACTCCCTCCCTATATTTTTTCTGTCCCTTTTCTCCCCCAGGGTGTTCAAAATACTACTACTAAAATTTATCCCATTGATCTCAACCATCCATGCCCGTCTCCTAGAAAAATTTACCAAATACAATAGCCAGATGGTTAAACTGAAGGGCCCCAGCATCCCAGGTGGAAAACCAAGCCAATCCCCTCTCCCTCCAAAGAGGAGACTGCTTAGATTATTTCTGTGACCTCTGACTAATAAGGTATCTGAAATTTGACGCCTCCCCCTCCGAGCTCTCTTGCTGCTGGAAAAGAGAAGATGCATTTCTTCTTCGTGGTCTTCTCCCGCTTCCCCCCAGAACTCCTCTAGCTTTTGCAAGTGTGTTGGTGTGAATCTTTGTTAATCTGTCCCTGACCAGCCTCTGTATTTTAGTTCCTTCTCCCTAGTTAACAGGTCCAGTGCCTACATATATTTACGCAGCTTCTCTAAACTCCCACAAGCAGCAGCAGAAAGAAATTTAGCCAATACTTGACAATTTCACTGTGGCCCACAGAGTTTTGGAAAGCCTCTGTGAAACAGTTAATGTCAGTCTGCTTGCAATTTGGGGAGGCCTTGGAGGTGTCTGTCTGCTGATTTAGGTTAATATTTTGTTCACATTTGGAAAGTTGTCTTTTCAACTGTAAGGGCCACAAAACTTAAAGAGAGAGTGCTGTTCTGCAGAAGTTGGTGGTACTCAGCTGGGAAAGATTTCCACTCACTGTGAGGGAGTAGATTTTTCAAGATCTGGATTAAGTATCCACTTCAGCCCTTGGATACTTAAATGGGGCTTTTATTGAAGTAACAGGTGCCCCTGGCATGCTTTTGACAGAATTTGAACCTGAATCTTAAAAGATGGCCTTTACATTTATGAGAAATGGGAAGGTGTCAGTTTTAAGAAACACTAAAAGCTCCCTAAAATCTTGTAATTGTCTATTTCACATTGTCTTTTATTTTTGTTTGTTTCAATTTGCATAGTAGGGTTTTCTTACAATGTGTATTACAAAATACATTGAATCAAAAAGTAATTTTACATTTGACTGTATTTTTGCCCAGACTGATCTGATCGTGCTACATGTACAAGAGATACCATGAGACAACTTAAATAGTGAGAATTGTGTGAATTTAACTCAGGTGTGGTATCTGTATACTTTGAGAGTAGTTATTTGTGGGTAGGTAGGTTACTTCACTTTCCTATCAATTTACCCTTTAATCAAGTTACCAAGATAAGACAATTGGCTTGAGAAAGAATTGATCTTGTGAGATGTGGATAAAATGTCACGCACCTACATCAGTGTTCCTGATGGTGGAACTGCAAAATCTCCAAAACTGACTGGTTCTTAGGGGCACAGAAAGGAGGATATGTGATCTGAGACTAAAGTTCTCTAGAGCAGTGCTTCTCAAGCTATCTGATGTGGGGGACCGGCAATTGTTTTTTCCAATGTGCCCACAGACTGGCAGCTGATGGCTCGCGGACCAGCACCGGTCCGCGGACCACCACTTTGAGTAGCACTGCTCTAGAGAATAATGGTACCAGACCGTGCCTACATGGAGGGAACTGACTGGTATAACTATTCCAGAATTACTATTCTGACGTAATTTAACTATTCTGGAATAAGTCCCACGTGGACACTATTTTTGGATTAAAAGTGATTTTGTTCTGGAATTTTTACTCTATTTTGTGAGCAGAGTAATTCATTATTCTATAAAAGTCACTTTTATTCCAGAATAGTGTGTCCTCATGGGGAACTATTCCATAATAGCTATATCAGGCAGTTTTCCCATGTGGACAATACCTTATCGTGTTCAGGATAGAATTGCTAGTTTTCTGTGTGCTAACCTCTCTAACCCAAGTTCAGCACATGCATAATTTTAAGCATAAGAATAGCTCCTTTGACTTAAATGGGACTACTCTTGTGTAAAGTTACCTGTGTGCTTAGGTATCTTGTTGAATTGGGGCTTACCTACAGACAGACTGACATATCTCAAAGATCTTTTAGAAATTTGCTTTTCTTTAGCACTAGGATTACACTTCTAGCATATAGTTTTCCATTGCAGAATAATGGAAATTTATAGTGTTAAAACACACTAATATTGTATGCCCTTCTTTTCAGGGATCCATCAGTTTCTAAATCTATAGAAAGAATCTTTAAAATCTGGGAAGACAGAAATGTATACCCTGAAGAAACCATTGTGGCACTAAAAGAAGCTTTAAGTAAGTCTTTATCTTTTGCCTTTCTTAACATAAAAGCTAATTTAGTATGTACTTGTAGTAGTTAAATAGTTTGAAGTCAATAAAATAAAACATTCATTAATCACTGTTTAAATGCATTCATTGCTCTTTCTGCATTTGCAGGAATTAATAAAAAGGAAAGCTAGTAGGTTAATATGAATGAGCTTTGTGATAATTATTTGATGGACAATCCTTCCATTTAAATAAAGCCAATACTAAATCCTTTAATTTTTAGCTATAGTGTAAATTGCAGTTGTACTAGTTGATAGAAAATGTATATTATGTTTAAGGTGACTCTTCATCCTAAAGGAGTTCTGAGCATCATGCCTACACAGAAGCTAGTTGTTAACTGTATGGAATTTGTGTCCTTGGCTCTACACCTTTACCTTGAGGTTTTGGGACATTCCGACTTTACATCTAAAACTTCAGTTGATACTAAAATTCCATCTGGGAATAATAATAGTAAAAATAATCTCTTCCATTTTCTCTCTGTAGATTATAGTAATAAGGTTGAATGTTATCAGTAAAACATCTACCATATTTGAAAAAAAATATGGAAACACTAACTAGAGTACGGAATAGTTAAAAAGTCCTCAGACACTCATGTAAATATATTTTTAAAAATCCCGAGATTCCAAATATTAACTGAAAGCAACATGCACATTAAAACTAAATAATGGAAAATCTGTCCTTTCTGAGTGTGAAGGAGATGAGTGCATGATTTTGTTTTCCCTGATTACGTTATTGACAGTGAAAACTGCTTTTCTGTTGCTGGTTTAGATGTGGCTTTATGTGATTGTGGGTCAGTAATTGTTACTTGAGAAATACAAAACACTGTACTTGCTTCTTGGTGAATGAAAAGACTTTCAGTTGAACATTACAAATCTATAAAAGTGAAATCTATGTATTCTGTTAATGATTTGGAATCTCATACAGCTTTCGTAATTTAAAAAAAAATTCAGCTCACTTCTAAAGTCGATTTAATAAATATTGCTTATTACACTGTTTCGCAAGAAACTTTTCAGTTGGATGCATGTTTTTTTAATATAGACATCGGGTAAGTAATTGCTCATTTAAACTACCAAACAACATACCTTACTATTTCTCCTGAAATGTGTTGTGTTTTCCTATTTGCTTTTTTTGGGCCAGACATAAATAAGTCATTGTCTAAAAGTTTAAAGAGAAAATTGTGTCAATCTCTGTGATTGCTGAATCCTCTGTTCTTTTAAAGGTGAACAGAAACTTGCTTTAAAAATAGAATGTCTGTCATAGAAGTTGCTGTATTCCTGAGTAAACTTAGTTTGTCTTGGGCATTCAACAGCTCATCTAGGGAAGTTGGTTTGTGGATTTTAAAACAAATTTCTGTTAATCTTTTACCATGCAACCATATGACACCAAAACCAGAGACCTTTAAAGGAATCCCATAATGCCAGACTGCAAAAAATGAAATGTTTTCCAGGTACCACTTTCAAAACACAGAAGCAGCTGAAAGAAAATCTGAACAAACAACCGAATAAGCCGTGGAAGAAATCTCAAAGTAAGGAAACAATGTGAACTACCTGAACTAATATTAAAAATGCCTTCTTGAGGAACAGAAGAAAGACTAGTGCAAAACTGGCAAAGTACCTGGCCTAAAGTATGAGCAAGCCTGTGTCTTCCAGACTTGTGAAGTTCCTTACTGACATGTGTAAAACACCAAGGAGTTGCTGCTAGAAAATCACTTTTTAAGGAATGAAATGTGAATAAAATTTTAAAAGAGCAAAAGTTATGAACAGTAGAGAAAAGATCTGGTGGAACTTCTTGGAAACTGGCTTTAGAATATTCAGAGATGAAGAGAAGACAGACATGATAACCATGTACATTGGCAACAGTGAAACATGGTGGACATTCCCTTCAAGTTCAGGAATACATCTTCAACAGCAAACTAGATTATAGGATAAATGGAATACTTACAGTGAGGCAGTGCAGTTAATGAATCATCGTTCAAAACTATCAGGAGTACAGCTTGCTAGCTGGAACCACATTTCTAATATATCAGTCTCTAACCTTGCAATAACTGTAATATGGAAAATCCTTGAGTTGGCAAGAAAGCAAGATGATGGAACATTAGATGTAAAACTTGACACATGCCACTCTGTGTGAATGCTAAGACTATTGGGACTAGGAGGACAATAAAAGAGGGCAGGAGGGTTGGAATCTTGGATTACCAGAAAGAATTCGGCCACAAAATATGTATAGAAAATCATTTTCTAGAACAAAAGTGGACAAGGGAGTTAGCATTTCTTATTTGATCATCTTATTGTACATTTCTTTGCTATTTTTTAGTAACAAATGGATTTAGAGCTCATGAAATGTGATTCCATATTTTTTCTCCTCAGATTCTCAATCGCAAAGTGAGATATTAGAACATAATTGTAAGGGCAGGGAAATCTTTAGGAGGGAGATTGTTTAGTTCAAGTAAAGGAGTAAGTGATCTGTCATCCCAAGGAAATACTAAACTCAGAGGGTCAGTTTTCTATGTCTAGAGTTCAGGAACTCTTCAGAGAATTATAAACTAGCACTCAAGATTAGTGAATGAACCATTACAAGAACATTTATGTACAATAGAACTGGAAAAGGCTTTCACAGTAACTGTTTATGTACTGCATATATAATACAGGAACTCCACAGTCTAACTTGTTGGCTTCTGAATCATAACTCTGTGCTTTCTAACGTGTCTGAAAGGCAGATAGAACACTGAGTGACATCTGTGTGGAGGGGGAAATATAATGAAATGGCATCCTGTGTATGTTTTGCATAGAAGTGTGTTTAAAAGGTTTTTGAAAGAGAACAGTCTCTTCTGAATTTTGATTGCAGGCAGTATTGAGTGTTTGTTCTACTTAATCCTTGTAATTGATATCTTAATTTCTTTACACGTTTGTGTACCAACAGCATCCACAAATCCAAAAGTTGCTCTAAAGTCGAAGATTGTTGCTGAATTCAGAGTAAGTTTAACCAGTGAAAACATCTTTTGCATTAACCTCTGTCCTTGGACTGTAGTTACATGACTAGTTTGTTTATAGCCAAGAGTCACTGGGGCTTGTGTTGAAGCTGTGGCCCTCAGTGTTGATTTGTTCATTATTGTATAGTGCCCACAATGCCCTGAGGCTGCAAACTCTGCAGAGCTGCAGCCTGTTCTGTAAAGCATCGTGTATGCTGGTGCTATTTAAAAACAGGGCATGGAAATAGAGCTAGGGATTGGAGGTAGTTAGTAAAGGCAGTTAATTCTTTCACACCATTTAGAGTTATCTGCTGCAAGAAAGCAGTTTGCCTTCTTGCGAAGAGTGAACTGCTGTCACTTTTGTAGCCAATGTGTTTGATTATATGATTGCCTATTGTTTTAATGTATGTTTAAATATAGGAACACTTACTAGGGCCTTGTCTATACACTTAAGTATTTACTGGTAGATTTATACTTGCAGCCCCTGTAGTGGAGATGCAGCTTATACTGCAAACATTATTTTGCTGCTATAGCTTAGAACAGTTCCATGAATGGAATTAGCTACACTGGCAAATGGATTTTTTGCCAGTATAACTGGATTTGCACTAAGGCTTTTGTTTGTACAGCTCTGTCAGTTGACGGTGTAATTTTTTTCCCCACACTCCTAACTGACATACCTCTGCCGGCAAATCTTTCTCCTGTTTACGAGACATAGAGTTCTGATCACCCCCATGTTCATTTCATTTCCATTTGTTATGAATTTAAACCGTATGTTTCTCTGAGTTAGTTTATTCCAGAATAGTAAAAAACCATCTGCTTTGATACAGAGACAGCTTTTCAATGGAATATTTATTTCTGTTACTTAAAAACAGGTCCATAATGTTATCGTTGCAAAGTTAGGGCTTCTCTTCTGCAGAATGTGATGAGGATGCTGTTCTTGTTTTTCAGCCACAATCGCTTGTTGATGAATTGTTGTTATATAAGCGTTCAGAAGACCAGATAGAACTGAAAGAGAAGCAGCTTTCCACCATGAGGGTGGATGTATGCAGCACTGAAACACTTAAATGCTTAAAAGGTACAAGTTGTATATTCTGGCAGTCATATTATCAAAGGAAACAAAAACGTATCCGTAGTTTTAGTAATTCATGGGCTCTTTTACATCACAGGTTAGATTTCTGCTTATTCTCTAATGAATTTCAGATTGTAGAATGCTAAGTGATGTCAAAGCACAATTAACCCATTTTCAGAGGTATCAGCTCCTTTTATTTAAAAAATGCAGTACTGCGGTATTCTACTTTAGTGATCCAGTACATTACAGCAGTATTGATACTGCAAATTTTTTAGCTGTCACTTTAGTATTTCATAAGTCACAGGACAGAAATGTGTCTGTTTTCAGTCATGAGCACATCAACTGCGTCCTAATGTACATAGTCTCCCAATATCCTGTTTTCATGTGTAGTAGATCTTGTAATCCTTCTACAGTTGTTTTTAATTAAAAATGTAGTTCGTCCAATGCATGTATTGAATGTTTTTATTTTTCAAATAACTTAAAAATGCACATCGTGCCCTTAACAGTCTGAAGTACAGAACTTCAGAGCACTTGTCCTCAAGATGTAGTAACAACTTAAACTGTGAGATTGAACCTGGGAGCTTGAGCACCAAAAGCACATCTCTACTGCTTGAGCTAAAGGAGTAACTGAAGATACCCAAAGTAGGCTGCCATCCTTTGTAGTCTGGCTAGGAGAAGGGGATGGAACACTTCATCAGTTTAGTACATAACCTGCATGGAGATAAGAGCTATGGGCCAGATTTACAAAGGTATTTATTTAAATGTCCAAAGTTGCAGATAAGCACCTAGTGAGATTTTCAAAAATGCCCATCTGCAGCTTTAGACACCTAATACCTTTGTAAATCTGTCCCTATATGTACAACAGCTGCTAGCAAGTACAAAGTACAAACTGTAGATGGCCAGGATTTGTTTGTTACAGGGTTTTCCTCAGTACAGAGTATGTGTTTCAGAATGCATGGATTTCTTAATGTGTTCAGTAGTCCATAACTTAACATTACAGATTTAATAATTAGCTGCTTAGTTCTTGAATAAAGCTACAATAATTTAAGATTTAGGAAGCTGTGTAAACTTGATTGGAAATAACGTTACAAGGGAGTAAACAAATTTAGTTTCATTGCCCAAATGAATAGGAAATTTCATTGTAAAATTGAATTGCTTTAAAAGTAGCTGGTATCCAGTTACTGCAGCCTATCAAAATTGTCATAAAAATGTAGCAGCCCATAAACATAGTTCTACCAATGTAATGGTGAAAGAAAACTGAATAATGTTTTCTTGCCCCTCTAAACAGATCAAAACTACTGACCCCAGATGATTGGAAGAGTAGAATTTCAAAAGGCTAACTCTAGTGGCCCCACATGCATGTAGAATGTGGTTTTGTTTTGTTTTTTTTTTTAAATCCACGTTAGATGTTATTACTAATCATTGGCTTGAAAACCAAAGAATACAGACTGCTAGTTGCCTTGCCTTTACATGACTTCATTACCAATTATTACACTAGTTGTCTGCTAAAAACTATGAGGTGCACGTACCAACTTACTGAATATTAATTATTCTGTGTGAGTGAGTGAGAGAAGAGCTCTGTGTATTCCAGGGGAGGTAATGTGCATAATGTAATTTGTCATTAATATTATCTCTTTCAGACAAAACAGGAGGAAAAAAGTTCTCCAAAGAATTTGAAGAAGCGAGTTCAAAGTTAGAAGAATTTGTAAATGGTTTAGACAAGCAGGTGAAAAATGGCCCCTCACTAATTGAAGTGCTTGAGAATGCTGGTATCTTTTATGAAGCACAATATAAGGAAGTCAAGGTGGTAGCAAATGTAAGTGCAAAGTTTTCCCCAATAGCAAATATCTTATTGGTACAGCATTACTAATAAGAGGACATAATGCAGAATTCAAACTGATAATTGAGGTTTATCTGCATTTGTTAAACTCTTTACTAGAAAAATGAGTGATAAAATCTCAGTGTACTAATGAATGAAGTAGAAATTGTGTGAGATTATAACACAGATCGTTTAAAAGGAGAGCAGAGATGATGGAGGTCAACTAATGAGATAATTAGATGCTGTTAAGATTGATAGGAGCTCATAATTTGACCTACCATTTTTCTCATATGTTTTGCAAATTCTCTGCATGTGAAAAAAGAAAAGATTCATTTGTTATGCTGAGTGTAAAGTTAACTTCGAGAAGCTGAACACCTTTGTTGGTAATCTAGATCTGAGAGTGACCTTTGGGTACTGAAGGTTTTCCTCATTTCTTGAAGCATTGTATCAAATGTGATAGTTTATGGATTTGAAAAGATTCTTCCAACAAAAGCATTAACTAAATGGAAAAAGTAGTCACGTGAATAACCCTTCTGAGGTTTTTGCTCTACAAGCCATACTGAAAAGCGAAATACTTAATGCAGGGGCAGAGATGATTGGGGAGTTGAATATGCTGCTATTAATACTATAGAAATGGTTCAAAGGTGTGTTATTTTTCCTTCTTTACAAAGGACATTAAGCTAAATATCATTTTTTTTGTGTGTTAGGCTTATAAAACATTTGCCAATAGAGTGAGCAATCTAAAGAAAAAATTAGATCAATTGAAAGCAACTCTTCCTGATCCAGAAGAGTCTCCTGTCCCTTCTCCAAGTATGGATGCTCCATCTCCAACTGGTTCTGAGTCCCCTTTCCAGGGAATGGGGGAAGAGGATGACATCCAGTCTCCAGCAGTGGAAAGCGAGAAGTCTGTATCTCCGGAACCTGTGGCAGATAATCGGGATGTGGAGGACATGGAACTGTCTGATGTGGAAGATGATGCCTCTAAAATTATTGGTATGTTCTGTGGAAGTAGCAGTAAAATGGGCTAATAGTTTTATACTATCCACAAAACTTTTTAGGCAAAACAGTTTTTCCAGACCTCATTTAGAATCAAGAGGATGTTGAGAAACTTTCCTTGTTCTGGGAATACTGCAGCTCTGGTACTATGCCAGTCCTCCAGCAAAAACCAGGGAATTCAGACCCAGATATTCCTAACTTAAAAAACAAGCATAAAAAAAGCTCTCTTCATGAGGCTGTCCTTACACACCCTAACAGTTCAGTAAAGAGCATGAACAATTGCTTTTCCTCTGAGTCTTTACATTAGTATTTTTTAAACCTGGAACACATTGAGAAGCCTGCAGCTCTTAGGCCAAAAGAATTCTGTGAGGCAGATTGAACATTCCATGTTTTTTTCTCTATATTTGAATTAGTGGAGGAGAGGAAGGAGAAACAGGTTGTTCCTTCTTCAGCACCTGCAAAGACTGAAAGTGTCCCAAAAGCAACATCCTCCACAGTGGTTGTTGCTACACCAGCGGTAACAACTCCTGCTCAGACTCCTCCAACTCCCAAGACAGTGAGCACAGCGCCTGTCCCTCCATCACCGGCACTTGGTCTGCCAAACCTTGCCAACGTTGACCTAGCAAAGATCAGCTCCATTCTTAGCAGCTTAACTTCTGTTATGAAGAATACAGGTGGGTGTCTAAATTGCAGGTTGTGACTGAGTGGTGCTGTTCAGCAGAGACAGAATTCTGCGTTGTACAAGCAATAACTTTGTTGGTCAGATCTTTTTTTGCTTCTGTAACATTTTAGAACTAAAACATTGAATTGTAATTCAGTCTGTACTTCAGGAGAGCTGTGACATATTGGAACTAAACACACTCTCAAAATCAGTTTTAAACATGCTTCCTTTTAAATGGTTTAAGGCGATCTGTAGTGTAGCGTTTCAAAGTAGGACATGGTGCTACCCAAGTCTATGCACCATAGTGATCTTAGGGTGTGTCTGTGCTAGGGTTCCTACTGTTTTTAACACTGCAGTAGTGAAGGCGGCCATGCTAGTTGTAGACAAGGTTTCCACAGCTGCTGACATTAACAGTGTCATGTTAAATGCTGTTTGCCTCAGGAGCCTTGCCTACACTAGCACCTTACTGCAACTCTACTGGTATTAGTAATAGTTGAAATTTTTAGCCAGAAAACCCTACCTTAACAAAGCAGTATGTATGAGCAGTGTATTTATTGACTGTTTTCATTGCTCTTGGAAAGTAGCATTTTGTGTTTCTGAGCAGCAAATGTTTTCACCCCAGGGGTCAGTCCTGCATCAAGACCTTCCCCAGGAACCCCAACGAGCCCCACGACTCTTACTAGTGGCCTGAAGACTCCTATTGTGGGGACTCCATCTGGTCCTCCAAATCCGTTAGCAAATATTCTTTCCAAAGTTGAAATAACTCCTGAAAGCATTTTATCAGTTCTCTCCAAAACTCAGACCCAGACTGCACCAGCATTGCAAGGTAAGTATTTAAAATTCACTCCTTTTGCACAGTATAAATAGTTAGCATCTGTATTTGGATGGCAGCATCAATACTAAAGCATCCCGCTCTGTGCTCCTGAAACGAGTTTATCCGTGAGGAAATTAGCTTATATTATGTAACACTTTTTCCAAATTTAAGTTACATTTTGCAAGGTAGTGTATTTGGTATGGGCAAGTCAATTTTGCAATAGATTTGGGAAGTGTTTTCCTGTGTGTTTAATCTTTTAAAAACCTTTTTAAAATCTGATGGTGTTGGATACCGTCCTGGGACATTTTATATTTGCTTTATTAGTTGCAACTTTTATGACTAAATCTTGTTGTTGTTGCACAGTAAGCAAATAGTGTTAATATGTTTAATTGCTGGACTTCACCCTGACTTTCCAGTTAGCCAAGTAATTATATTGCATGTGTTTGCTAAAATCTTATGGTGCATGGAAAAAATGTAGCAGAGCAGGGGACCCATGAGTGAGTGCCACTTAGATTCTATTCCTAGCTCTGGGATGGGGTTCGGTGAAGCGGAGGACTCTAGGATTCTGGGAGGGGGGTTCCCTCTGCTACTTGCTCGTATGATCTTGGTTAAGAACATCACTTCCATATTTCTGCTTAACTAGCTGTAACATGGACATAATACCGATTGTGGTTTAGATGTGTGTTATAATTTATATTGGTAAAACAATTTGAGATCAAAAGCACTATGGGAATGCAAAGTAATTAGTATTCAATAGTATGTAGAGATGGCAAAGTCTAACCATTCTGTTGGCTCAGATGTCAGTTTCAAAAATTTGTTTGTAGCTTCTCTGCCTACAAAACCAGTCATGATTATGGCTTACCACGAGTTTTCTGTTGAAATGGTTGTAGGTTACTCTGCCTCTTAAAATATCTAATTAAAATGTTTTTTTTTTTTGTTTGTTTTTTCTCCAGGTTTGTCATCCTTACTTCAAAGCGTTGCTGGAAATACAGCTCAATCAAGTGAAACGGCAACTCAGAGCACTTCAGCATCACCAGCCAATACAACTGTTTCTTGCGTGAAAGGGAGGAATGTTCCTTCCAATACTCAGTCTTTTATGTCCAAAAATATTGGTTATTCTCCAAATTCTTCTACTGCTGAGGTTTCTTCAACTTCGGTTAACAAGGCTCCTGTTGGACATAGCCCAGGGCTTTCAAGTTCTAGTTTTAAACCACCAACAAATTCCCTTGGATTTGCCAGTACCCATCCTACCAGTCCTTCCCTTTTACCAACAGAAACCCCATTGAGTCAGTCCTCTGAGATTTCAAAAACAAAGCTGGAGTCAGAACCCACCTCTCCAAGCCTGGAAATGAAGATACACAATTTTTTAAAGGGAAACCCTGGTTTCAGTGGTCTAAACTTGAATATTCCAATTTTAAGCAGTTTAGGGTCCAACATCACATCAGAAAGCCATTCATCTGACTTTCAGCGCGGTCCTACTAGCACCTCTGTGGACAATGTGGACGGAACGCCAGTCCGTGATGAACGAAGTGGAACGCCAACCCAAGATGAGATGATGGATAAACCAACATCAAGCAATGTTGACACTATGTCTTTATTATCAAAGATTATAAGCCCTGGATCTTCTACTCCCAGTAGCACAAGGTCCCCTCCTCAGAGCAGAGATGATGGATATTCCCAAGAACTGTCTAATTCTGTGCCTGCCTATAGGTCTTTCGGTCTTGGCAGGGATTCTCCAGCCAGCATGTACAAGCAGTCGTCTGATATGGAAATACCTTCTTCTTTAATGGATTCCCCTCAGGAGAAGTTTTACCCAGACACATCTTTTCAAGAAGATGAAGATTATCGTGACTTTGAATATTCTGGGCCGCCACCATCTGCCATCATGAACCTGGAGAAGAAGCCTTCAAAATCCATTTTGAAAGCTAGTAAGCTTTCCGACACTGCAGAGTATCAGCAAGTTCTCTCTAGTTACGGTCAAAGAGCACAAGAGTTTAGTGTGAAGTCGTCTTTTCCTCAGTCTATGAGGTCTATTCTTGATCAGAATGAGAGCTGTGATCCGCTGTCATCGTCTTCTGGAATGTATGGAAGTTACAGCCTACGAGCAAATGACTCTGGATCCGATGGTTCCCCTTCACCCAGTAAGAATGATGTGTTTTTCACACCAGACTCCAATCATAATAATTTATCAAAATCTGTGATACATTCTGGCCTGGCACAGAAACAGTATCCAGACTCTCCCCATTCACTTCCTCACAGATCAATCTTTTCTCCTCAAAACACTCTTTCAAATCCTGCTGGTAGACCACCCACATCCAGTGTGGAGAAATCTTTAGGTTCTTCCATTTCTGCCACTTCAACAATTGAGTTTAAGAACATGCTTAAAAATGCATCTCGCAAGCCTTCTGAGGAAAAGCATTTTAGCCAGGTTCCTAAAGGTAGCTCACATGAGGGGGTTAGCCTGTCTAGTCTCAGCCAAGCTGGAACTTCGACAGGAGAGCAGCAGCAGCAGCAAGAGGAGCACTATCGTATAGAAACTAGGGTGTCGTCATCTTGTTTAGACTTGCCTGATAGCACTGAAGAAAAAGGAGCCCCCATAGAAACTCTGGGTTACCATAATGCATCCAATAGGGGAATGTCAGGAGAACCAATTCAGACAGTAGAGTCTATCAGAGTTCTTGGGAAAGGAAATAGAGGACACGGGCGAGAGGCAACTAGAGTAGGCTGGTTTGAGCTAAGTAATACAGGTAGTGCTTTTGATAATGGGCCCTCAAGTGCTACTGAGCTGCCCACCATGGGTACTGGCAGTGGAATTGCCAGCTTTCAAACACAGTACAAAGAACACGTGCCACAATTTCAGGAGAGTGTAAACAATTTCAGAACAAATAATTTCAGCACTGCCTTTGAGCGTCACATACCACCTCCTCCCATAGAGCATGGAACTCCTTTTCAGAGGGAACAAGTTGGTACACCTGCTGGGCCCCCATCTGCTCCGCCCAAGGATCATGGAAGCCTGTTTCCTAGGGATCACTCAGTTCCTCCACACATGTCATCAGTGGATCACACTAATCCTTTTTCAAAAGAAAAATCCTCTCCACTCTCATTGCCTCATGCTGCCCCTCCTCCTCCTTCTGTGGAACATAGCGGGGTTCCATTTCCTACTCCTCCCCCTCCACCTCACTCTGTGGAACATGGTGGCGTTCCATTCCCTACCCCGCCGCCACCTTCTGGGGAACACAGTGGCATTCCATTTCCTGCCCCTCCCCTGACCGTGGAACATGGTGGTGTCACGTTTTCCAAGGATCATGGTACTATTCATCAAGGAACTATAAAAGAGCATTTTAATGTGCATTCAGGACCAAGGGACCATGTGGCCCCACCTCAGCGAGACCACAGTGGTCCACCCCTTGGTCGGGTTCGAGAAAACATAGGCCTACCTTCCCTTTCGAGAGATCAGCTTGGGCCATCCCATAGTGTTCCTCCCATTGGCCCATCTCATAGAGACAATGTAAACCGGAGTGGAATGATGATTAGGAACCCACGACCAGACTTTAGGCCTAGGGAACCTTTCATAAACAGAGAACCATTTCAGAGCTTAAAAAGGCCTCGGCCACCTTTTGGAAGGGGCCCTCCATTCTTTGCACCAAAACGCCCTTTCTTTCCTCCCAGGTACTGAAACAGACATGCATCTCTGTAAGTGAAGGTATTTTGGATATTCTAGAGAGCAGTGGAAGTAGCGCTTTCACGTTTGTTTTTCCTTAAAGAGCCCCATAACATTTTTCTAAATTAAATATGTTCTGATACTTTTTTTGGTTGTTTATTTTTTTAAGCCACCCAGTTGGCATAAATCTAGCAAAATGTTTTAACAAAAAATAAGAATTTTCCGAAGAGTATTGCCGTTGAAATAAAACTTCTAGTCGTAAAAAATGATTGAATGTGCGATGTTGGGATGTTATTTTTAGCTGATTACCAAATTGTTTTGCTTCATGAGTCCTCTGAACCCATGTCAAAAAATAGAGATGGGGGAAGGAACTCTGTTGCTACTGTTGATTAAGGAAGATAAAGGGTCCAAGCTTTCAAAGCCTTCCCTGTGGCAATAGAAATATTAACCCTTCCTTGTGCCTTTTGTTAGGTTAATCAGTCGCTTTTTTCACTGATATCTGCTTAGTCGGTCCCTTGCTATGAAGCCTTGGAACATCTTGCTGCTTGCTGTTTTCCATCTTGCTGACAGGAATAGGGAGAGGGTAGGCAACTAACATGGTCAGTTTTTCAGCCCTTCTCTTTGCTTTTTCTGCCTTTCTCAAAATGCAAAAGGAAAAAGCCTCTGCTTTTCACAGTTGACAGCTTTGCCACTGAGGGTCTTGAACTTGTCTCCCAAGTTGGGTTTCAGAAAACAGTCTCTAAAGTATGTGCACTTCCTATCTCTAACTTGGCTTCCTTCCTCAACATGCTAAGAGGGTTATATTTTGCTGAATATAAATCAAGTAATGCATTTGAAATAAGTGGATGCAGGGAGGTAGCTAGCAGTAAAACTCAAATCTGCTTACACACACACACATTTAATGTATACAATGTATATTTGAAACACGCCTGCATTCGCATGTACAAGCTGCATCGTATTTTTTCTTTCTTGTCTTATATCACAGAGCTAGGGCAGGTCTAGTAAACGATATTTACTTTTTTGCTGGGAGCATCGTTGACTTACATGTATTCTTCACTTTTTGTAATCACACCTTTCCGTGTGCTTTGTTTGAAGCACATAGTTCCATGTAAGATGAGAGAGAAACTGCATGCAGCAATGTGAAAACAGTACCTAAACTCTCTTCCCACATATTTTCATAAACTCACTTCTGCTGCCATGTGCATAGAGGACTTTGTGTGGAGTTGGAATTACTTTATTTGATTTTTTTTAAGTGAGTAGAATACAACATACTAGTGTTTGATAAAGGTATGGGAAAATATCTATAAAAATAACTACAAAACGAGAAAATGGCAGAGCATTTGTTTGTGCTTGGGCTGTGTGTTTTATTTAATATATATAATATGTATAATTATATTTGCATACGCAAGTAAGCGAATCGGAAGGTTGTATGGGTGTATTTTATTGAATTGGTCTGGGTTTACAGAAAGAATGATGTTATAGGGCCAATGCGTAGAAACCTTCTCTGTTTTCTAATCTTAGAACAAAAACGTGCGTTCCACTTCATTTTGCAGTCAGCAGCAGACGTCGCTGCTGCTGGTCTGTAGGGGGGCTGTATTTAGGCAGCATCATGGAATGGTGCACCTTGTTGTGTGGACTGTTTCAGTTAAACAGAATTCCTGAAAAAGTAGCTGCATGTGTAATCCATGCAAACACTGAGTGTTTAAACTTTTGGGTTAAATTTAAACAGTATTTATTCCTTTTCTGTTCCTTCTGAGTTCTGTTCTCTTTGGACACCACAGCTCCTTTCAGTGAACCTCCAATATGATTATTGAATGGATAACACACCAAAGTACTACTGTGAGGGTAGCTCGTGTAAGTTAAGCAAAATGTTCAGAAGGAAAAAACAAGGCAGTAAAGATATAAAGCAAGAAAACTACGTAATAAGATGTGAGAATTTGCTTATCCTATGATATGAAGTAAGATGATATAACTCAGTTCCCTATACACCAGCACTCAGAATGTCTGATCATATTTCTTATTAGTGAGAATAAACGTGCTCACCTACAAAACAACCCAAGATGGAAGAATGCTTAGCTTAGCATTCATTTCCTTGTATGCCCAAAGTCTAGCCATACAGCTCTTAAATTTTAGGACTTGTAGGACATGGATATATTTTAATATCTAATGTTAATGTCCAACACGAAAACTGAAAAAATTTCAGAGCTTTTGATGTATATTGGAAATGATGCATAGCTTAGCCCAACTTCTTTGCTCTACTGGAACATTTTAAATGAAGCTTTCAGTAACCTAAACTACACAATCCCATTGCTTTAATATCTATCCTGGCTTGAAGGGACAGTTTCAGAGAAGTCATAGCTTAAGGATGCTTTGTTGGAGGAAACCCACGGGGTGAAAAAACGCAGGAGGTTCTGATGTAAGAATGGAACCAATATTGACTAGAAAAAAAAATTCCCTCTAGAATAAAAGAATGTGAATTGTTTCTGCTGCTCTTGCTTAAAGTGGTGATTTCGAAGTAAGGAATTATTAAAATCAGATGGTGACACCATCTAAGAACTGCTCTCCATGCCATCTGACATGCCTGGCGAGTAGCTTCCTTGCTCTTGGAGGTGGCTTTTTGGGTAACTTGAAAAGTAAAATGACTGATTAAAAAAAAAAAAAAGACACAAAAACTTATTGGAAAAAAAAAAAAAACTATTTTAATGGTGAAAGCTCCATGTTTTTTGTTTGAGGTTTTTCATTTTATTCTGTGCTTGTTACTTTAAACAAACTGTCTACAGTAACTGAAGACACATGTACATATGTAGAAACCACACAACTTATTTCTGGACATGAAGGCGTTTTTTCCTGTGTCTGTGATTTAAACTCCCCACCGTTCTTGAACTTTTGTATTTCACCTTATAAGAAAAAGAAATAAACATGTATTTTTTAAATAAAGCATGAAACAGTGTGTCTCATGAAGGACATAACTTCATAAAGAAGAAAATCAAATTGCAGACAGCCTTCAGTGTGCACTCCAGCTGTTCTAGAAACAGAGAGGACAACCCAAACATTGCACTGGTACAGCTTAACGGCAATCAGTAGAATTAACTTTTACTAGAGGTTATAAACATTTAAAATGTATCCCTGTTCTAGACTTCTGCTAGTGTAATACAGCTGTTCTTGTCACCAGATTTACGAATATGCACCATTTAGATTTCTACGGTCCCCTCAGATACACAGTATGCATACCTGCCTCTTTGGAAAAATTCCAGATATGCTATGGTGTGCGTTGTATATCAGAGAGGCCGGTCTACGGCTGTGGCTGACTTTGTGATCTAAATACATTTAGAGACTCTTTACCTGTAAAAACATTGTTCAGGTGTGAGAAACCTGTTTAGATAATGTGAATAATGGTAATTTTTTTAAAAAACGTGCAGAATAAATGATCATATCCTGAAATTAATTATTCAAAAATAAGCTGCAGTGCTGTTGTTTCAAAACTGCTGTAAATACTGGCTGCTTTTTTTGTGTGCCTGTTAAGATTAATTGGATATGTTGGATTTATATTCTCAAGTGTTCCGTGTGGAGAAAGCAACGTGCATTAGAGGAAGCGACAATAAAACTGCAGATCATTTTGAAATGTGTATTAATACATTTAATAAAATAACTAGTTCTAATGTTTTGATATTCTTTTTTAACTGGAACCTCTATTTAAGTGTACAGGGGGTGTAAGATTGCCTGATCCGTGAAAATGACCACAATATTGGGCTGAAGAGAGAACATCAGTTTTTTGCAGTATAGAACAACAGCCAGGCTTTGTTTCATCTTTACTGAATTACAAGTTTAGGGTTAGTGTGGCCTAACCCTTTTTTTTTTTAAACTCTTTAAAAACAAAAAACAAAAAAACACAAACACACACAAGGAAGAATCTGCCTGCAGCTCAGGTTCCGTGACCATTTTGAAGACTGAAAGAAATTTAAAACTGTTGGAAGATGGTTCTGTTTCTTTTAATTTTACATAGAGGCGGTGTTTGGAGGCAAATCTGAAATTACTGTTAACTCGCAGAGCAAAATACAGAAAATGGAATATTCTACCAATACTTGTGGGCTGAGACAACACTTCCCCTGCCCCCATTTATTTTTGTATTGCATATTAATAAAGTGTACTTTACTTGGTGTGGTTTCCTTTCAAAAGAGTAAGATCTTTGCACCAGTTTACTGGTTTCTGGCCTCTGTACATACTCTTCTGTTCTGTCATGTAATTTTGAAGGGTGATGATGTTGATTTTCAGGGTTGTCTTGGCTTCCTGTCCTTTTTTGTTGGCTGGGGGATAGAAATAGCTGGCTACACAGCCTTGAGAGAAGCTGGTCTCCGTGATTACTGCTAGAACCTCACTTTCAGTCTGTATCTGCATAGCACAAGATGCAATTATGTGAAGCAATTTAAAGAGTATCATTTTTAATAACTTCAGAGGTGCATGGTCATTAATTTTTAACAAATTGCTTTAGCTGGCCTAACCTAGATTATCAAAATGGAAAGAATTTTAAACTGAATTTACTTTTTGCCATTTATGCTAATTGGCTACCTTTTGCATTTCACTTACTATGGACAATAAGAAGAGCCTGCTAAATTCTGCATTCTGGTACAATAGTAGAATGTAGTAGTAATTTGGCTCCTAGGTGCTTCAAAGTCGTACATAAACAAGGAATTCTTATTTGAAATTGTTTCTAGAATAGGAAACCTATTTTATTTTCCAAGCTACAATTTTTGTATCTGAACTTATGTCCACATGTCATTTTGTAAAGATCATTTAGATAGTAGAATAACTCTTCAGGGAAGGTTATCAAACGTCTCAAGAGCAAGGCACTATTAAACGTGGAAGTTATGGACCTCTAGGAATCGATACACAAATAAGCCAAGAGGCCCCTTCTAATCCAGTGTCTGTGAATCTAATGAATACTCACCCTTAGTTTTGGAAACATGCTGGTTATTGTATTTAGTGCGGTCTTGCATGTGGAACTCCAAGTCTTTCAAGGTTTTTGTGACTGAGGCGGAATACTGCTGAATTCAGTAAGCCTATTTATAGCTTTTTCAATATCTAAAGTAGTAGACTCTTAACAACTTAAATCCCCCTATGTGTCTGAACTGTAAAAGTTCCTCTCGTTAGCTCAGGTGTCATGCAAAACTTGGTCAGATTAAAAATATGTCAGATCCTGCTCAGCACTCTGTACCTGCCAGCCTTAGTGAGTGTATAATTTGTCATTTTATTGTGATGTTGCATCCACTCACCCTTTAGCATCCAACCAAGGGCAGTTACTCTCCTTGTCCGTCTCCAGTGACCATTTCCCCTCCCTCCTTTTCATCTCATTGCTTTTGATACCATTTCTCATCTTGAGAGGATTTCACAAAGTCTTTTCCAAGGTTTTCAGAAAAGGTCACCCTATGGATATACTAATATAGAGCAGGTCACTTGCTACCCTCCTCTAACATGAGGGGCTTTGTTTCCTCCCTAGCTCAGTGGGTGTTCCTGAATCTCTCTCCCTGCTCTTCAGATGAGTCCTGCCATGCAAATATTTTCTATTTATCTTCCCTCTACTCTGACCTACCTCAAACTGACTTTGGTAGGGTTCCATATTGCACTTCAGTGACTTAAAAGATCTTTCTCATTTTCAAGTGAAGGATGTGGAGCTTTTAAAGGGCAGCCCTGAAAACTTCATCTTGGATCTGAAGGTCAGGCTGGTTTCTGCTGGACTGCTGCGTCAGAACCATGAATGGCCAAATTCGGGGGGGGCACAAGTGGAAAAGTCTTGTCCTGAATTGTTAACTTCTCACTTGCAGTTGCTACATGAGCTTATAAATAAGAATCCAGCAGCTCGCTCCGAAAGCTGTTTGCGCTTTGCGAGGTCACTAAGATTATGCATAGTGCTGAATATGGGGGGTGGGCAGACCTGTTCCATAACTATGCCCACTTAGTTACTTTTCAGAGCAGAGCTGCATTCCTCTTCTGTACTGTTACTTATCACTGATGCAGGCAGACCTGTAGAATCTATAACTGGAGGCCCATGTGTCGAGTGTGTCGGATGCAGATTGTTTTCACATTAAGCGCTCTCACATTCTAGAAGCTAATGCAGCGTCAGAGTCTTCCAAGGGGATATGATCCCTTAGGCTCAGCCCAGCACTCTGAATGTGCACAGGGTAAAAAGAACTTCCCAGCATGGATAAAACTGGGCAGGGTATTTGAAAATTGCTTGAATTGCAGTTGGTGTTCCTTGCATTTCGGTTGAGTGTGGGCTGCTGTGTGTTGCGGGCAATAACGAAGCCCAGGGTAGAAGTGCTACAAAATTCTCCCGTCCTTGTTTAATTCCATTTTAATCAACTAACTGCTTACATTTTTAAACCTTCTGAAAGATTTTCTTCTGCAGGCTTCCATTCAGCTTATTTATGCGTAGCTTGGCAAGTTAGCATCAGAAGTAATGCCATTTTCCACCGACACGGCCACTCCCCACTGCAGACTTGCAAAATAGAGATTTTATTTTCAGCTGCATTTCAGTCTGCTCATGCAGTGAGGTGCTGCTTAGCCTATGCCAGGGCATCCAAACATATGCCAGCCTAGGGGCTGTTTTAGCAACTTGGCAGGAGCTTGAGAGCTGCTCTCTTAATTTGCTGAACGTGATGCAGGTACGTCCAGCCTCCTCCCGCTTTACATCAGTGCAACCCCTGGGGATTGCTGGTCATGCACAATTCTCTTTCATTCCTGTGTGTCAAGACCATGTACTGAGCCACCATATTGAAGACAAGGGCAGCCCCAGGCTGTGCTGGGAATGCATTTGTCCCATGGGCTGGACACTTGGTATCTTTGCTGTGTTCAGATGGGATTAAAAAGCGTTTAAGTGATTTGAAAACCCCCCACCCTTCCTGCGTAGACTGCTGAGCTGCAATACATTGAGGGAGCTTGCCCTTTTGAGGTGACCTTGGCATGTCCCAAGATATGATGTGATAGGGAGGCGACTGCCCTGTCTCTCACCCTTGTAAGAATGTGCTGAGAATTAGTGGTGTAGCTAGCTGAGCTTTGGGGATGGAACATGGCACAGGTGTGGTGTATCCCTCCTGCTGAATTAGTGGAGGTTAGGAGTTTCCTGAATGGCAAAACTCTAGCAACCTAATGTCCAAAGCAAAGGGGCCCCTGGCTCAGGTGGAGTTGGGCAGCGCTTAGTTTGGAAGCGGATGGAGCCACTTTGAAATCAGCCGACAGAGGCTGCTGTACAGTGACATGTAGTTTGCTCCTACAGTTCAGAGGCCATAGGCCAAGAAACCAGACCTGGCAGTGCCAAGCCCAGCCACTGATGCAAAGCCATCCCCTTGAGAAACGGCCATTGTGCTGCCACAGTGTACGGAGAATGCCACTTCTTTGCCTCAACCCTCCTTTCCCCTGTCAGCCATTGTTAACAGCCCAGGCTGCGCTCCCCAAACGGGCAGGGACTCTCCTGAAAATCTTGGTTTCTGCTCCACAGAGGCTGGCAGGAATTACTAGCTTATTTGGGTTTATCTTAAAGTAAATAATTCAAACATTTGCAAACTGTAATTCAGCAGGGTCTTTACCTTTGCAGACCTGATTGCATTTGGGTACCAAGGCCTGTACCCACTAAAGCCCTAAATTGGTTTAGTTTTCATTGTGCTACTAGTTGACAAGCCAGTCATGTTGACCAGTGGTTTGACTAGCTGCTGCCATCCCTCCCTCTTCCTCCCTCCCCCCCTCCACTGGCCAGGCTTGGCTGAGGTTTCTATTTGACTTAAAATCACACTTCCCACTTCAACCGTGGTAAACTTCTAAGACATTTTAAAAGTGCTAGCAGGGACAGGACTTTGGTGTCAGGGCTTCCAATGTGACAGCATGGGTTTAAGGCTGGGATTTGCAAAGGAGCCCAAGGGAGTTAGATGCCCAAATTGCATTAGAAACTAATGTTTGGCACCTAATTCTCTTAAATGCCTAGCCTTAAATCGTTCATTTCTCCTCTTTCCCCTCCAGTTTGCACAGCTAACATTCGCTTGCCTAGGGGAGCAGCATCTTGTATTATAGAAGCTTTAGACCTTGGGTAAAATTTTCAGAAGTGTCGAAAGTCCCATTTTTAAAGACTGGCCTAGGTGCAAAATGAATCTATTTCAATCAACCCTGCTGGAGTAGCACATCCCAAGATGATTGCATTTTGCAGCATTGATGGGGCCTGGTGGTCACTTTGATGCCTCTCTCCTCCCCCTTCCTGCTCTGCTGTACTGGATTTGTTTCTTGGTCCAAGTTTATCTGATATCAGCTGTTCAAGTACCTTTATATATTAAGCTCTCTGGGCAAGAACTGGGACAACCCTGGCCCTCCAATCTGGCAGCTAATAGCACTTGCAGCGGGTGGCCAATTCTTATCACTCCTCCGTAGTCTCTTGCTGGGGAGTTGCAAAGGTTCATACCCTTCATAGAATCATAGGGTGGGTTTTTTTTTTTTTTTTGTAAGCCAGAAACTAGGGTCACTAGGATCATCCAGTTGGAACTCCTGTGTCACACAGGCCAAGTACTCTTATGGTTGAGCGACAGCTGATTGTTTGGAAAAGCATCCAATCTTGATTTAAAGAGATGATGTGTAACTTCTATAATAAACCAACAACTCGCAACCTTTTGCTTGTGGGCCTGAAGTTAGAAGATCCTGTAAGATGTTGAGGCCCTCCTACTTTTAATTGGAGTTTTAGGGTAGTTAGCATCTCGCCGGTAGGGCTTGACGTATGGAACAATAGTGCCTCTGTTTGGCTGCTATCATTCCCATCAAAGTGAGGAGAATAAGCAACTCCTCTTGTTTCTCTACAGCATAAGTAGCTCTTGTAACACCCATAGCTGAATAAAACAGCTTTTAGTTATAGTTGTCTTTCATTCCCGTCTTCATCTAGCCCCAGAGCATGCTCTTCCACCACATTTATATCTTCAGCCTCATGGTAATTAAATGGCAGCTCCCTTCTTTCTGCTGTTGACTTAACAGGTAACAGGCACCAAAGCACTAATACGAATAAGCAAGGAGAGTTGTTTTTTAATGGAAAATACTGAAGGTGGGATTTCTTCAAAGCACCCACCCCTGACCTGGCTCTGACCCATTGAAGTCAATGGGAGCAAAGTTAGGCCAGTGCTGGATGCTTCTA